TTGCTTCTTCTGGGCCTCTGACCAACCAGCCCACTGACTGTGAGTTCATGTATATCCTTGCCTCCGGCCACTACTCTCTCCAAAGCGGATGGTCAAGTAAATTGCCTAAAGCCCTACTCATTGAGAGAATTTCCCCTCATCACTGCCTTTCAGGACCACTCAGGAAGAGGCGGTTGAGAAGCAGTAGTCCATACTTGGCTTGCCCTAACATGATCAAGCCAAAGCATCCACAAACCAGACCCGGGATTTTTTCCTCCTCTGTCAAATGTTTGAAGGAATTCTTATGTTGCCATAAGCATGAGCTAAGAGAAAGGTATTAGTGCAACAGATGTAGGTAACATGGAGGCCCGGGGCCCTTTGTTCAATTTAACTTACTTGTGCCAAATTTGCTTGGGCTTCTTCCAAACTGTACAATTTCCATTTTAATATGTATTGCTATTGTATCCACCCAATCTTATCATTTGGCACATCTGACAATAACAGGCTGTTTATATGGGCAACTGGTCACATAGTCACTTGATATTTTGTGGTTAGGCACTGAATCTCTATCAGGACCTAAGAGTATGCCAGAAGATGCTTTGCAATGGTAAAACTGTCTCTACTGCAGGAAGCATCACCTTACTCCAGAACCCAAGACGTCTGTGCTGGAACTCTCCTACTGTGGATTGCCAGAGAATCCACACACATATTTTCCTACCACAGATACCTCTAGTACCATGGAATTTACTGGGTCTTATGGCCCAAGCAGCAGGACTGCTTGCATCATAGGCTGGACCTGCTGTAGAGGCCTTTCTTGCATTCCCAAGTTCAAAAATATGCTGCCTCCAAAACTGGAATATGCCTACCAAGGTATTTTGCTACTTTCTTATGGTAAAAGGCACAAGATACAATAACTTATCTTTACTAGAGAGGATGTCCCAGAATGCTCCAGATCACTGGACACCTAAAAACCTAACCAACATGGCAGGGCCCTGCATCTTTTGAAGAATTTCTCTCTCACCCTCTGGAGTGTATGTGTCTCACCAAGGAATCCAGAATACTTGACACTGCTTGTTCCTCAGATCTGATTAGCATATCCTTAATATCTGAGTAGCATAAGCTTAATAAAGCAAACAAATGTGATATTCTACAGAATATCCAGGTCCTTTTGGACTATACTGTGAAAGAGAGAAAAATTAACATAGCTCTAGATCAAAACCATGAACATAGGGACTTCCCTAGTGGCACAGTGGTTAAGACTCTGAGCTCCCAATGCAGGGGGCCCGGGTTTGAGCCCTGGTCAGGGAACTAGATCCTGCATGCATGCCGCAACTAAGGAGCTGGCGAGCCACAACTAAGGAGCCCGCCTGCCACAACTAAGACCTGGCGCAACCAAATAAATAAATAAAATATTTTTTAAAAAAGAACTGTGAACGTATACTGTTGCCCATCACTTGCGACTCCAACTGCTTCTGATTCTTCCTGATTAGTATTGAAATATATTCACTAGATCAGGAAACTTTCTGTAAAAAAGGCCAGATGGTACATATTAATAGCCACATAATATATCAGAGGCTGCGTCACTCTCCAGTAAATACATCTGGCCTCTTGCCTTCTGAGATGGCCCACACTCTTGTCTGTGAAGTGTGTTTCTCTAAATAAATCTACTTTTTACCTATCACTTTGTCTCTCACTGAATTCTTTCTGTGATGAGACATCAAGAACTTGAGCTTCCTTAAGTCCTGACACCAGGAAAGAGAGCTGATGTTTTCTCAGACTGAGTGTGGACTCAACATGTGTTTGCAGGTCAAGAGTCTTGTTAACTACACAGGCCAGAGATGAAGCTTGTGTGATGTAAAATTGGTTGTGTTCAACAGAAAAATATCAAGACCTACTTGTAAGGGCCAGAACAGCTCCTGCTTGCCAGTGGCTGCTTTTCTATTCTATTTCTCAGAATAAATGTATAAAATAATATTATGAAGTTACAATACAAAAAAAAAAAAAGTAAGAAAAAAAGAAAATACATCCATCACAGTACTACAATCAGTACTATTAATTGCTTAAGTTTACAGCAGTCCATTGTAGTCCATTACATCCCACCCAATGTTTGCAAGGACCAGAATGGTGAAACTAAATGAGGATATGATGGGGACCAACACCCCTGCACCCTTTTAAGTTTTTAAGAGTGTAACGAATTGCTGCCATTTCCCCCAGAATGCAATATTACTTTTTATTTACTATTTTGGCAGAGGTGCGGGTGCAGTTTCAGGGACTTCTACTTGGGCTCTCTGCCAACTACCAAATATGTCCATTCTGATTATCTAGGGAAACTGGAAAAATGACCGTAAAGTGGATTTTTGGACCCACTGTGAGACAGACCTGGGCAAGCACTCCATTTATTATCTGACCCTATATTTTCCTACTGTAATTGGGGTGAGGTGGGGCGGGGGGAATGCAGGAACAGGAGGTACCGTGATGGTGCTCTGGGTCCCTGGTATCAGTGTCAACTCAGACCCCATATCCCTGGTTTTCCAACTCAAAAATTTTGGGTAGTCTTCTTTCCCTAGTGTATGGTTAACTAAGTAAATTGTGCATTCAGCTGATAGACTGAGTCCGAGAACTGTCTCAGGCCTATAAACTAGGCAAGGAATTGTGACTTTTCATTGAAGTTACTGACCTCAGCCTTCTGTTCAACCATTCTTGGTCACTCTTAATTATATGTAAATCAATACCTTACTTGATTGTCCATCTATATGGTCCCTAAGACCACACACGTTCCATTAGCCACCTCCACCTTGACCATGCTGCCCTTATGGAAATTCACCCACCCTGCTTCTGAGAGTTAAGTGTTGCCATTTGGCCTCTGCTATCAGGGCCAAATGCTAGGATCCTATTAGCCCCACCACTACCAGGGAAACCAGTTCTTAAACATCCTCTTCCATCAGCCTCCACCCACAGAGACAACCACTTCTTAACTTCTCAAACACGCTGGTGACCCCTCCATTAGTGTCTTTCTTTTATACAAAATTTCCGAGGCCCTCCTGAGAAACATAGTCAGCAGGTGGGTTTTCCAGTGAAATATACATCCTTGCATGCATACTTCCTCTAAGCCTTTTGATCATTTTTCATATGGTCTGTCATCTCTACTTCATTTACTGTGGGCCATCGTTTCTCCCAAGCTCCCAAAAAGCCATCTCAACAGCACATTATAAGCACCTCATGGGGCCCCCGCCAGGATGTTCCAGAATCATAGGAATGTGATTATCACAGTACTAACTTGATTCTTAATTAAACCATCCACTTACAAATTTGTTTTCTAATGTACAGAATTTTGGAACAAAGGGGCACTTCCTTTAAAGTCTGAGAGCAGCATAAACACTTTACAGCTTAAACCTAAGCTTTGTGATGGTTATTTTAAGCAGCAAAGGAAGGCTAGAAAAATACTAGAAACGTCCTTATAGAGACACATTCTTGCTGAAGAAAAGGTTCAGTAGAAGCAACCCTCACGTGGAACAAGTATAGATAGAAATGTATCCCTTTGGCTGATGCAACTGTGGAGAGACTGAGGAGGGCCCCAGAGCAGTGCTACTCAGGTGGTTGGAAATTTGTACTGGTCTGTGAACAGTTTTTCACCAGTCTGCGACAAGAATGAGTTAGAAATTAAATGTGTTCAGAAACCTTTTAGCATTTTGTTTTTAATTTTTATTTATTTATTTATTTGGCTGCGCCATGGGGCATGCGGGATCTTAGTTCCCCAACCAGGGATCGAACCCATCCATGACCCCTGCAGTGGAAACTCGGAGTCCTAACCACTGGATTGCCAGGGAAGTCCCTAGCATTTTGACTGCTATAATATCCAAATGCATCATCAGGGGCCTTATCCTGCGGAAGAGGTCCGGTCAGTTTGCTGTTGTCAAACTTGTGTGGTGGGTAGCCCACAGTGTGAACTGCGCATATGGAACACGTATTGGTGGACAAAGGACAGGATACTTATGAAACAAAAAACCTGGTCCTTTACCACAGTTTGAGAAGGACTGCTCCATCTTTCCACAAGTCCTAGAATAATTCAAATAGTATTTTTGGAACAGAGAGTAACCTGAGGTCAATTTGTTCATGTTCAATCAAAATCAAAATGAAAATGAATGGCTTGGGAACAAAACTAAGGTGGCATCTGTTTAGGTTCCTCACGTAAGCCCTGGCCAGGCCAGCAGAAGTGAGAATGTGTAAAGGAAAACTGGCACATAGTTCAAGGTGCAAGGCCCTTTCGTTCTTCCCTCCTTTTTCTCTTTCCTCATCCAGTTTTTGGCTAGAGTTATAAGGAGAGAATTTTGGCCATTCACGTCCTATGACCATCATCACAACTCTGCCTGTACTTTCCCATCTCTTGCAGAGGAGAGGAGTCTCAGATTCAGACCCGGGCTCTTCTGTACTTTAAGTTACAGTAGCTGGACCTTCCCAAACAGCCTTAGGCCTTAAGAACATTTCCTTCCTCGCCAATACCACAGAATGTGTGGGATCTTAAGGGGTGAAAAGTCTTAATCCAAGGGAAAGTGACATGTCAGGAGCTCAAAGTGTCACAAATGATAAGTACAAATTTGCTCTGGAAGTTATTTTCTCAGTGCTGAACCAGGACAGCCAGCTGGTCTGACCAGAGTATCCACCAACATGTGGCAGCCAAGGTCTACAGATTCACTGGTTCCCATAGAGAAGAGCAAGGTCAGCTCAAAGAAAAATAATTTAGTAAACATGTTAACAATATATTACTAACATTAATAATAATACTGTGAAATGTTAAAATATAATACCAATCGAAGGGCTTCCCAAATTGAAATATTCAGAGAAAATGAGGAAAGATGGCCATTCAGTCTCCTTTGCCAACTGAGGTGCAGACTGAGCTGGGCAAGGGAAGTGGTGGTAGAACCCAGTAATGCAATGTTATGCTAACATTCCTCACACGGCAGCTTAGAGAAGCTGAGGAAGATTAGGAAAAGACTTGGATGAAAAACAGGCTCAATCCCTCACTCAGAATATTTATTAGTCAGGAAAAAGGACCCAGGCTGCATCCCACCCCCAATTTCCCAAGCTACCTCCCTGAATCAATGAACAGGATTCAAAGGAATCAGATGTCTCAAATAAGCCAAAATGTATCTGGGGAAGAACAGTAATTCATTTCCTAGACCTGACACTATAATTATATACATTTGCCAGGGAGACAGGGGGGCCAGTGAGGGTGGTGGATGGACTAGATGAGGGTAAACAGGATGGGTCTTTCTTTGTCACAGTTTGGGCTCAGAGAAGGGTTGGAATAAAGAGGTATTTAAAATAGGGAGATGAGAGGAGAGGCAGGGGGTAAAGGAAGGTCAAGGGCTGAGTTCACCCAGATCACATAGCATTATAGAAAGAACAGGGCAGCTACTTGAGTTTTCAGGCTGGAACAGGCAGTTGAGGACTCTGTACCTGGAGAGAGGAGAATCCCAGGGCTTCTCTTTCAACCTACTGTGAAAGAGTAGCATTTTTAGATGCAAAAGCCCCCCCACTTACTTTCCCTTCAGAGAATTCAGAACAGTCTGAAGGCAAGAGGGTGTGGTGACAGACCTAAACCCCCAGCCCAGGCTAAGTTTCTCCCCATTCATTCCCACAGGTGCTGCCCAAGAGAACTATAGAAATATAGAGTCCTAGGACTCTGTCCCTGCTCCCCAGGTCCAAGACAGGGAGTAGAGACAAGGCACGAAGACCCTGGGTACAAAAGTGAACTCAGTGTGGCCCTGTATAACATTATTTTGGGAGAGGAAAGAAGGTGCATGCCCCAAAAGGGACACCTTCCTTCACCTGGTAGGTAGCTGGGCCTTTGCTGGCAGCAGAAACCACAATGGAAAGGGTTCACATAAATGATCTGCAGAACAGGCCTTATTCCTAGAGAGACAGAGAAAAAGCCTCAGCTGGTATGGCACAATCTTGGGTGGGATGACAGATGGCAGTGGGCAGACCACTCCTGTAGACGACACTCCTGCCTCAGCTCCCAGTGGTTCTGCTGACTCCAGACGTTCCCCCACGGCTGGGAATCAGGGAAAGCATGTTGTGTTTCACATGATCAGACACTGTTCGCCATTGGCACCTGGTGGGCCCGAGAGATTGAGGGCATCCAGGTCAAAGTTGAGGCCAGGAGGCTGGAGAAGAGATGAAGGGACTCAGATAACTCCTCCTATTTCAGAAAGTTAGAGCTTTTGAAGGTCCATCCCCAGCAGCCACAATTATCACCTTAGGTGGAATCACTAAAGGTTACAAAATAATGGAAACCGGGGCTCAGATTAAAGTATATGAGAAGGTGGGCTTCCCTGGTGGCGCAGTGGTTGAGAGTCCGCCTGCCGATGCAGGGGAAACGGGTTCGTGCCCCGGTCTGGGAAGATCCCACATGCCGCGGAGCGGCTGCGCCCGTGAGCCATGGCCGCTGAGCCTGCGTGTCCGGAGCCTGTGCTCCGCGATGGGAGAGGCCACAAGAGTGAGAGGCCCGCGGACTACAAAAAAAAACAAACAAAAAAAAAAGTATATGAGAAGGTATACTCACCATCTCCCCAGCAAGCTCTTTTGGAGGATGGCCCAAATCCTGTAGCTGGAAAATAAGAAAAGAGGAACAAGAGATAAGACCATGCTATGTGGTCTCTCCTGTGCTCCCTCCTCCACCTTGGCTGGGCAGGGAGGCATCCTTCCAGGACACCTCCTCCACTGAACAAGCAAGCAGATAGCAGCAGCGGGCAGACGGCAAGAAGAGGCCTTACCTGCTGCATGAGATCCAGCACCACCTCAAAACGAGCCTTTTGAGTGGCCTCACTATCTGTGGGGGTTTCTGCCTCAAACTGTTCACATATTTTGCCCATAACACTGTGTTGTTCCTGATATTTTTCAAACTGCTCTGGAGGTAGAGATTCTCGGTGAGTCTGCAACCATTCTGGATACTAAGCAAAGAGAGAATGGGTGGGAAGGAAGTAAGTGAACAATGAATAAGTAAGGGCAATAAAATATGCGGAAGAGTAAAACATGAAGGGGACAGGAACACAGGAGAAGGAGAAGCTAAATAAGCGAGTTCAGCATGAGAAGCAGCACTCACTTCAATCAGATCACCTGGCTATGCTAGCATTTACAGTCACCAGAGCACAGCAAACGTTTTCTGTGAAGAGCCAGATAGTAAATATTTGAGGCTTTAAGGGCCACATATGATCTCTGTCACATATCCCTTTTTTTTTGTTTGTTTTAACAACCTTTAAAAATCTCTTCAGTGACACTATAAGCTCTGTGATGGCACAGACCATCATTTAAACTACTCTTAAAATTGTTCACAGCATAAAGCCAGTATATCCTCAGTGAAACCTTATTGGAGAAATGAATGAAGTTGGAAATGCAAGAAAGGTTTATCACACAACAACAGACTTAGACCAATTTACAGAAAACTAGAGCTGAAGGATTTCCCCTTCTACCTTAAACATCCTCAGTATGGTAGCTTTATTCTCTTGGAGATACAACTCCTCCCTAACTCTCCCCCTCCAAATAAATAAAGGAGAAAAAAATAGATGAACCTGTACACTTGAGGTACTCTATCTCTGCAGGCTCTAAATAGACAAAGCAGCTCACAGGAGCTGATACAATGGGGAACAAAGAGGAAAAGCATAAATAGAAGTTCACAAACCTTTTCTGTGATCTCCTTCAGTGACGGGTACAGCACATCCTTGGACAGGAGGTTCTGCATGATACTCTGCATGATGGGGAGGATGGTCCCTTCCCCATCTCCTTCGTCCATGCCCAGCCCTTCCATGGCCTTGGTTAGCTCCTCTTCTGACATGCCAGAGTTCTAGAAAGGACAGGAGGGAGGTGAGCAAGTATACTACCTTCTTGGGATGCTCACCAACCTTTCAGGTGGGAAAGAACTATTTAAACTTGCCTGTAGCAAAGTAGTCAGGCAGGGACAGACTTGAGATGATACCCAAGAGACTCTGCCTTTTGAGACTCTGCTGGTGAAGTGTCTGGGAGTGGGCCCCCTGTGGTTCCCTATCTCTTCCCCCTCACCTGAAGGTCAGTGGCATTCTTGGCTAGTCCACTTAATGTCTCCTTTAGGCAAGAAGTGAATTCTTGTTGGGAAGTCGCATCACTGCCTAGGAGAGTTGAAAAGAGCCAAGGTCATTTAGGATTTTAACTGTTTGCTTGCCTAGACTGACCTGGTTACCAGCTTGGATATGGAGCATTTATTAGTGAATCACTAGCACTCCAAATCTTTGAATACTCTATGGTTATCTTCATAGTTATTTTCATAAAACTACATGAACTGTGTGTCAGTTTGTTCTCTACAAAGACACCCACATTAACACTGTGACCTTTAAAATGGTCACTTTTTAATAATCTTTTCTGTTACTTTCCAACTTATCTCATGCTTTTCATTAAACAGGGTCTCATACCTCCTCCCATCTCCTCCACCATCCCACAGCAGTGGTATCATAATTGTTGTCAACTTTACAAAGTTTGGTGTCCTCAAGCAACAATGACCTAGGAGGTTTGCTCAGACATTTTCAGTTGTCTGGGGCCCCCTCCTCACCTACTCTCCCAGCAGCCTCTGAGAGCTTTTGGAACTGCTCTACCAGGTGGGGCTCTTCCTCAGCCAACTCCTTCATTGCTTTCTCGAATTCTGCAGTGGCTTGGGAAGCCAGCTCGCTGTCAAACAGTTCCTGGAAAAACTTCTCTTGGGAGGCGAAGAGGGCATCCTGCAGGGGAGAACGTGGCCTAAGTGCATCTCTTACTTGGCACCCCACTGCACATGGCCTCTGACAAAAGTCACAGGCAGTGGCTCTGGGAAATGCAGTGCTTCCCTCCTACCCACCTCCACTGGACATTCTGACTACCTCTCTTACTAAGAGCAGCAAAAAGGTATCTGGCCACTGAGGGAACGGTATGGAGTGTCACTCCCAATCCAACCATTTAAATCTGCTCTTTTCTTAAAGAACTTCCTTGAGATCCCTCTACTCAATCTCAAGTCCCTGTTTCACAAGGACTGAGGCCTGCAAGAGCACTCAGCAATGTGAGGCCAAGGCACCTCCCCCAACTCCCCTCTGGCCTACAGGGGCCTGCCCAACCTCTGCTCAGAGCTGCATGCCCATTGCCCCCCCCATCCCTTAAGTGGGTGGAATGTATACTTTGGCAGTGTCTCCCGGCGATCTCTTCTGGGACCCCGAAGCATCAGGGGCCATGGTGGTAGGAGGGGGTGCTGGAGAGGGTTTGGCCTTATCAAAATCATCAAGAGCACCTTCAGAAACAAGAAACACGGCGTGTATTTGGGGATGGATGAGGCTGCAAGGCTGGGGGGTTTCTGGGCAAAGCATTAAGAGAACAATCTTTCAAACTGTGAACTTTCCTAAATTTTCTCCTTTTTTTTTTTTTTTTTTTTTTTTTGCGGTACGTGGGCCTCTCACCACTGTGGCCTCTCCTGCCGCGGAGCACAGGCTCCGGACGCGCAGGCTCAGTGGCCATGGCTCACAGGGCCAGCCGCTCCGTGGCATGTGGGATCTTCCCAGAGCGGGGCATGAACCCGTGTCTCCTGCATCGGCAGGCGGACTCTCAACCACTGTGCCACCAGGGAAGCCCTTCTCCTTTTTTTGAGTCTCCCTTTCCTGACCCACCCCTCAATAAGCCTCCCACTTCCCACCCCATTACCCAATTTATTGTCATCAAAGGGGAAGAAATCTCTTAAGGTGGAACAAGCAACTCTCTCAGAGCTGGGAGAAGAGAGTTAAAACTTCTGCAGAGACATCTCCATCTACACAGTGCCTTCCTTGCCATTCTTTAACGATTCCTAGAAATCCCATACAGATATTATCCAAGGGGAGCAGAGAACACAGATGTCCTTAACCCCCTGAACTCATTCTACAGCCCTAAAGGGAATCATCTTTAGCAAGAGAGCTGAAGCCACAAGATGTTTCACCTAGCTTCCCATGGGTCCTGGTACTATTATGAACTGAGGGACTCCATATTACACTCCATGGGAGGGCACTGAACTCTCTTATCTTCCAGTTTCACTCTCCCTCCCCAAAGCTCTTAGAGCTCCCTCTCGCCTCCTCTCTGCAGACTCACACAGTCACTTAACACTTCTCACAATTCCTGTTCATCTTTCCGCCTGCCCACTCTGTCTGCGACTGAGCAAGAAACAAAAAAATATTCACCTCTTCCCTGAAAAGCCTCTGTCCTCACCACCATTCTGCTTGCCAGACTCTTAAGTGTAAGGCGAGGGCAGCGGCCCCACTCTGGGCAAGAAACAGGGCTAAGGAGGAAAAGTACAGCCACCCTCTTTTTAGAGGGTGAATTGTCTTCCCCAGAGGCCGTCTCACCCTGTTTTTCAAAATAATGGGAAGGGAGTGTGTTTGAGCTCTGACATGATGAAAGAACTGGAAAGGGGCCTGGTGAGAGAAAGGTGAAAGGACTGGGAGAAGGAAAGGCGTGTCTTCCGTGCTAAGGAGAACAGGACAGTGCACAGAAGGACGCACTTCGGGCTCGCTAAGAGTTAATGGAAGCAATCCGTGGATGTCCGGTTCGCGGCCCACCGAGGACCGAAGGCTGCTGCCGGCGGGGAGAAAGTCAGACTTTAAGAACTTACTAATCTAAAGTAAGGGGAGTTTGAAGTGGGATCGTGAAACATCGTCCTCTGGGTTAGTTTCCCCTCCGGCAAGGAGATCAACGGTCTGGGCCGCTCAGGGACCCAAAGCGAGCTCCTCAGTTCCCGCCGCGGAGGAAGGAGAGGGTGACCCAGAGATTATCTCGGGGGTCGCAGACTCTCCGCCGCCGACCAACGTTTGGAGAACCTCTCCTGCTCCGCCCCAAATACCTCAGGTTCACCTAACCCCCTGAAGGGATCCTTACATCCGCCCCCTTCGGGCCTTTCCCGTAAGGGCTCTTACTCTCCAGAAGCTCTTCCAATTCCCGGTCGGCTTCAGCCCCAACACCACCATCCTCCTCAGCCGCGGCCATCTTGCCACCTCCGCCGTGCCGTAGGAGGCAGGACTCTGCGCCCCACCCCCAGCGCCCTCCCCCTCTGCCTCGTGCAGCCAATGGCATTGTTGGCCCGTGCCGGGCCGCCATTTTTAAAGGGACAGGAAGCTTCGATTTTTTTTTTTTTTTTTTTTTTTTCCCCCTCTTTCTCTAGGAAGGTAGAACCAACAGAGGGGAATTTACTGGTACCTTCTGCCAGGTTTCTTACGGGCTTGGCCACCTTTCTTTCAACTGCCCGCATTACCTGGCTTATTTTTCTTCCTGAACTGTGGGTAGGCCAAATTGGGACAAACTGCCTACGAACAACCAGAAGCTGTTCATGTGTAATCAATAACGATAGTTAACGGCACACCCAACATGCTAGTTTCCTCTCATTTCCCTCAGTATTTTACTCAAACGTCATCTTCTCTGAAATGCCTTATTTGGCCTCACTAAATAAAATTGCAACCCCTCCCACAGACATATACACTTCCTATCCACTTTTCCTCTTTATTTTTCTCAACACTTAACCACTATCTGACATACTATATATTTTATTTATTTATCGTTATCTCCTCTCAAGCCCCTTGTAATTTAAGCACCATGATAGCAAGGATTTTCATCTGTTGTGTTCACTGCTGCATCCCCAGCTCCTAGGCTAGGGACTAAAACTTGGGCACTCATTGGCTGCTCTTTGCTCTACCAGGCCCTGATGAGGCATGTTTCTCTGCAGAATCTAGTGGATATCTCTGATTTCCCTGCACCCCATTAAAACTGTCACAGTGCCAAGAACTTAGAACTCAATGTTGGTTAATTAAATCAGGCAGAAAAAGCGACTCTTGGACCTTAGACTAAGCAAGGAGGCAATTGGAATGTAGTGGTAATAGACCTGCCTTCCCTGACCTATCTCTTTTTCTCTACGCAGAACTCAATTGAGTGTAGTTGGAGGAGACTCAGATAAAGACAACTCCAGACATCCCTTCCCTCCTCTGGAATTGTTCTATTCAGATCTGTGAAAATGCATCAACTGCCTGACAAACCTACCTCAGCACTTGGAAGGCATCTGCTGTTGTTTAATATCCTATGCTGGGCACAGTGGAGGGCAGAGAGAGAAATCAGGACCAGCCCTTGCTGTAAGGTAGTTGACTGGGGATTAGGCTGGAGGTAGGATTAGACATACACACAGTAAGTATGGCACAAGGTTAAGTGTCTTATAAGAAGTAAGGATAAAGTACCATAAAGTTTAAAAGGGAGAAATCACACTAAATGAAAAAAGTTACTTCATGACTTTCATCCTTAGCTTCCAAAACACACACTTGAGTACTTGTGTCAAGCACCAGTTTAGGTACTCTTTCCTTGACATATAGGGCACAGACTTTTAAAATCATACCTGTGCAAAACCTACTGTGTTCTTCCAGGCACAAGTACTGTGATTTGGGAGAAAACACTCTGGAGTCAGAAGACCTGAATTCCAGTCCCAACTCTGTCATTAAATTGCTTTGTTCAAAACCCTTCACCACTCTAGGACTCCTATTACAAATATGTAACATTACATTTGGGACTCTTAAGGTGCTTCCCTGATTAATCTCTTTCTCCCAAACATCTACATCTATTCCAGGTTAACTTTTTCATTCAACTCCAAACTGCTTACATGTGTAATCTCTAATATGACTATATCAAGCACACATTACAGGTATTTATATTGGCTTTACCTTAATATGGTAATATAAGTATGTTAATAAGGAAAACATCAGATGGTAAATAAGAGAATTAAGATGGAGTTGAAAATAAGCACGATTCTTCCTTTGCACTATTTCTTAAACTTGCTTTACTATTGATAAGCCTTACAATTCATCTCAGTATTTACTCACCTCCCACCTTTCACGTATAGTGAACACTGTTGCAAAACAGTATTTTACGTTTTATTTATATCACTCTCTCAAGTAAGGACTTAATGGCTCTCCACTGTTTATTAACCAACTTCAAATTCTTGCCTGATATTTAATTATTTCACATGTATCCATTTTGTTTCCCCAATTACATAAGCTTCATGAGGACTGTCCACTTTTTTCATATCCCTCAGTTCAGAATGTTTATGTTGGTATGCAAAATTAATTTTATAATTTATTTTAAATTTACAGAAAATTTTTGCCATTTTGCCAAAGTTTTCATCAACTTGCCTATGGTTACAGAAAGAATGTTTATAACTTGAGAAAGTGTTATGGAAATAGTGTGCAAATTTTTGAGAGGGCAGGCTTAATTTGGGGATTCTGTTTAAGAAAGTATCTTTTAAAGCTAAAAAAGATACAAAGCCCTGCCCTCTTTGACATCAGGAATTACACTTATAGTTTATCCTCAGATTCACTTTCCACACCTGTCCAATGTATGTTCAAGTTGCTCATTGCAGCACTGTATATAATATCCAAAGACTGGAAATAACTCACATATCCATGAATAACAAGGCAACTTAAAATCATTAGTATGCTTCCATTTAGGTATAACAGGGGGATAGGGAAGAACATATTCATAACTGCTTGTTTATACATCAAAAAATCTCTGGCAGGATATAAGGAAGCTAACAATGGCAGTTACCTGTTTTGCGGAAGGCGATAGGAACTAGGTGGCTGACGAAAAGGGTGGGAGGAAGATGTTACAGAATAGCTTTTTACATTTACTGATTTCTGAACTATATGAATGTACTGTTTATTGAAAACATGAATTTAAAATGAAAAAAAGTATATATTTTAATCAAAGGCACAGTACATCACTCTATGGAATTAATCTTAGTACATGACAAGCAAAATTCTGTATTGCCATTGTAATTGCTGTACTATATACAATGTAATTAATCACATATATATCACATAAAACATCTAGAACAGTACCAAGTACATGGCAGGTGCTCAATGAATACACTCTATAATTAGCAATAGATGGAAGGTTGCAGTCAATAATGGAATAGGGGAACTACTTGCTTTCTACCATTCTCACAGCAATTCACTATATCCTATGAAAAATATGTACTTTAAAAAACAAATAGGTATTTATTACCTTTGTAATTAAGAATAATTATTGAAGGAAAGGTATCTGCTTTGATGGGGCAGCTACATGGAGTAAGTAGGAATATGACAGTGTCCAGGAAACAAATGGCAAGCCACAAAACTCTTGTAGAAATTTACTTTATTTAGTGTGAGAAACAAAATACAAGAACAATCTTTGTAAAGAACAAGTCAACAAAAAGTGATGTGCATTTCTGGAAAATCAAATAGTTTCTACTCAGACTTTAAGTTTCTGGCCACACAGAGGATATCTGCCTCGGAGTTTAAATGCCCAAGGAAAACGGGGATGGCTAACAGCTTGTTATGACTGAGTAAAAGATGCTATCTTATTTATTACACTCATTTCTTTCTAACAAAAAGTACACAAAGGTGGTGGGGAGGGAAGGAATAAATATAGAAGGAATTTATTTCACAAATGTTCATCACAAATGTTCTTTGAAAGATCTAAGCTGGGAAGGCAAGGCCAATCGTGACCAGATGAGAGGTCCTCAGAGGCCAAAAAAAAAAAAAAAAAACTGCCTTTCAATTAGTGCAGCAGGATTCCCTAATTCACAAATTCCTTAAATATTAAAAAAGAATCTGATAGTTTCTGGTATCTAGACATCAGCAGACTATTCAGGTACCTGCAGAGGTGAAACACAAGACTACAGCAGAAAGTTCAATCTGTATATGGGCCAGAGGCAAAAAAAAAAAAAAAAAAAAAGTCAGGTTTAGACATTTTGATTAGCCATAGAAGAAGAGAAAAGGACATTAGGTTTTAGGGAAGAGAGAGCTAAACATCAATAATATGAAGGGTAGTTGAGGAAGAAGGAGTTAGAAGGATATAAAGACTAACTGTCTGCGGGAAAACATGGTGCTTAACCCTACACACATGAAGCAGGCCTTAGCGAAACTGCAGAGGGCTGATCCTTAAACCAATCACATCTTTGCCAATCTCTGTCACCTATGGAAGAAGAAATAGAAGAAAGTTAGGGATTTGTGAGGGTGAGAAGCCTAGAAAGCCTACTCCCTCCACACCTCAATGAGCACAGTAGAGTGGTCTGTTATTGTTACTGACTGGAAGGAGCAGTGGGAAGTTCTACCCTCCTCCAGTGTCACTGCCTCAAGGTGTGAGGGGGAAATACAGGAGACAAAAAGGACCAGCATGCTAGTTGGTCCTTCCCTCAAGACAGAATTCTAGATGTATTTCTCAAGGACAGTACTTACTGTAGTGACCCTGCAGATCTGACCCTTGAACTCAGGTGAATAGCAGGCCCCACTGAGTGGACATTTCTCCACTGGCTTTCCACGGTAGATGGGCCGATAAGATGCAGCACAGATGTCAAAAGGGTTGTGCATGTCATAATTGAGCTGGTAGGCATCTGTGGGGTTCTTCTCACAGGCAGACAAGATTTTGCGGGTCTAAAAGAGTGAAGGAATATTTTATTTACAAGGACTGAAAGCTGCACACCACAACTCAAATGATCTCATCAACATGGTTTAGTAGTTTCTTTTATGTAGATGCAAACTGAATGAATACAGAATACATCCTCTGTATAGGTCATATGTGAAGGGGTAACAGTTGCCATTCCTGTTGTATCAGGCTTTCTCCTTCTCTATCCCAAAGTGGCTCCATGGATCTAGACCCATACTCCTCCAATAAGTCTAAGAATTCTCAGGGTTAGCCCTGAAAGGGTTAAAACTGGCTTTCACTGCACAAATAGAAAGCTTTTGGAAAACATAAGTAATGGGACATGTATATGGAGGCTAGTGGTGGTGGTGAGGGGAAATCTAGAACTTAAGGACAGGACTGGGTTGATTTTCAGGTACAGAGGACCTGTTCCATATTGCAGGTCACACTCTCACAGTGGTGCCATGTGTGAGTAAGATATTAGTTCAGTTTCCAGGAACAAAAGGAGGTCCGCATGCCAGTAAGTAGAGGATGGTATCTTGTTGGCTCTCTTTGT